CCCCCCCCCCCCCCCGGGTTTTGTTGAAATGACGCTCTTACATCTTCATCTCAATTTTCAGAAAAAACCTAAGTAATTGAGAATTCAGGAGAATTCAGAAAAAATTCAGGAGAGCTGGGTCTGCACCGAGAAATCTTGGAATTTTGAATCTCTGCGAGATTGATTTTGAGGCTTTGGGGCATTTTCAAACCATAGACCGTAAGAAAACATAAGGTTCTTGAGACTTTCAAGGGGTATGGATGTATGATCTCTATCTCTCTTTCATTTTTCCTTATTCTTCTCTCTTCAATTTTATCTGATGGGCCTAGTCGACGATATAGAGGACGTTCAAATTATAGCTTCGAGTAAAAGTAAAAGAAAACCCAAGGATCAACTCTACCAATGATGATTGGAACCATCATCTCAAACTTCTACTTGTCCTCATATGCGATGAAATGAAAAAACATAAACCAGTTAAGTGTAGGTAAAGCTACTTTCGAAATTCAATTACTTGTGCAGATTATCTGGGGAGACAACACGATATAGTCTTGTATTCTAGGGGAGGGGGTACGCACATATTAATTACAGGAGCCTAGGAAATCTACTTGAAACTTTTAATTATAACATTTATCGACTTCGAGGAAATAATGTGAAGGCCTGAGGTGGCAAAGGAGAGGGGGAAAAGGATTCGAAAATCAGGAATTAGGCACATATGAAACTTATCGTGGTTACTCCAGTCTCAGAAAACACTATTGCCGACTAAGATTAAGCCACAGTAAAGTAAAAGAAACCCTGAAAAATTTCCACTTGTAAAATTAAGTGGAGTGTTAACAGACTTATAAACTCAGGGCAATTTAATCATAGGTCTGAAAACCTCTCATCCTTACGAATACAGTTCGCTCTTGCAATCCTGGTCCAGTGCTACTGGGATTTTCGAATGATTTAATCAGATTGGAGCAATGACCTTCATTTAAATGGGCAAAAGGAGATGCTTAAAATAATGAGTCTAGAAAATCCGGAAGATAGATACCTAATTTCGGCAGATAATTTCAGTGAACGATTCGTAGAATTTCATGTGTTTGACTCAAACACCAATAAAAGATTTTCTCAGTAATTAAGTATACTGATGTCGGTATGTACAGTGCAAGATATTCCTGCTGGCCTAAATAACTAGGATAGTCACTGTTGCCTAGTAAAGGAGGATTATAATAAGTAATGGCCAAAGAACATGGCAGCAAGATTCGTGTGTGCCTTCTTGCTCTTGGCTTTACGGGAAGTAAGTAGGCACTGTAAAAATGAAGCACAAGCACAATAATAGGAAATACATAAGATAGGTTGAAAAAGGAGAAGTGGAAGAAGACAAGAACATATTGAGAGAAACATGACACCAAATCTGAGCAGAATGTAAGTAAAATAAGTTTGTGCGAAAATCAAACCTGAATCCAGACCAACGCCAAAAATTACACGCATCAAAGGAAGCTATGGCCAGACGTCCAACTCCATCAAATTGTGGGTAGCAATAATGAGTGAAATCATTCGTATTAGATTGAGAATTAAACGCGGACACACTTAAAACGCGAAACCGAAAACATGCTGGGAAATACACACACGCACACACCGACACGCGAGGAACAAACCGGCACGAATGTCACATCATTCGGAGTCCCGAAATGCCGTTCAACAAGTCACTGAACAGTGAAGAAAATGCCGAGCGAAGATCATGATAAAATTGAGAAGTTAACATAGGTTCACCCGAAACAATCGAAAGGACGAAATTCGGTGAAAATTTCGGGTATCAATTACCTACATTCAAGTCACTCAACCGCCGAACATGAGTTAATAAATTTCGTGAAACAGAAAGAATTTTGCCGGCGGCCATCGTGCAATCCATGAGACAATTTACCGAACACACGATCGTTTTCATACATCGCCGAAGAGTTTTAGCGAAACACACGAGGTACCGAGACACGCACACGGCGAAAATAAACACCGAAAACGACAAAACGATATGAAACGACGAAAATCAATGGAAATTGTGGGGATCCATTACCCTCAATCAATTTGCTCGAACGCCGGCACGAGTTACTTCGAGGACTCAATTCAAGAGACTATAATTACTTCACACGATCAATTTTACATGCACCAAAGAGTTTTCGCACTACAGACGAGGTACCGAGACACGTTAAAAGGGTTCTAAGAGTCTTAATACTTTAAATGAGAGGTAAATCACTTGAAACCAGGAGGGCGAGTCACTCCGACCGGACGCGGGACGCGGAGAACCGACTTGGGCAACCGCTGACGGAAAAGTGCCGCTGGCGGCCGGCCGATCCTCAGGGTATGATTTGCATGGGGAGGGGGGCCGGGAGTAGCGTCTCCCGATCACCACTGATTCTGATTGGCCCGCGCCGGCGTGTCTTCACAAACTGTATCTTGTTCGAAGTTGGCGTCGGCATGTCGCGTTGACTTCTGCCTTTAGGTTTTCTTTTCCTTCGAGAACTGATAAAAAGTGCGAGCCGCTCGATTTCAGACAGAGAGACGTCCGGTCTGATCCCCGCGCCCGCCCAAATAGTGCGAACCCTTTTCGTAATCTCCTTCCACTCGATACTCCAAAAATCTTTTCGGCCGAGCCGCCAGATTATGTAAGCAAAAAGCAATGATGCTGGAACTTCTACACCCCGTTTTGATTGATAGACTGCAGAAATGCGTATCTTCGTTTGCGGTGTTGTAGACTTCCTGTCATACTTTATTTTTTTGGTGCTTAAAAACAGTGGTCGAAACTCACCTTTGAGTTTCAGGAGTCATGTGGCGCATCGAGCTCGATTTTTAGGGGCCATTGAAGATTTTTTAGGGGCCAAATTGACTTTTTGCCTATATACCTCGGCGCATTTAGTGAAAAATTAGACGCAAGATTTTTTAGTTACAAAACTAGTAACTGTAACTTGAGGGAAATTTCGAAATATCACCTAACAGAAAAATTAGGATTTTTTTTGGAGGGGGGAAGGACAATTTTAGGGGCCACGTTGGCGCAAAGCCTTCTTTTTTTAGGCTCCATGACCGATTTTTTAGGTCCAGTCTTCGAAGAACTACGTGGGGGTCTTGGAACTCATCAACCGGAG